TGAGGGCAGGCAGGTGAGGGCAGGCAGGTGAGGGCAGGCAGGTGAGGGCAGGCAGGTGAGGGCAGGCAGGCGTGGGCAGGCAGGTGGGCAGGCAGGTGATGGCTGGTCAGTGTAGATGCTTCTTCTGATGGTGCAGCAGCAGTTAGCAACGTCCTGATTTATACACTGTGATTTAAGGTTTCACTACCTGCTTGTGACAGACTCCTGCCCCTCCCCTCCCTTACATCAGAATACCGGTTCCCCCCTTTTTCTGACTCCCTGCTCTCCTCCCCCCCTCCCCCCACTCCCATAGGGTCACACGGTGATCAGGTCTGCTGCCAATGCCTCTCTGCCCCAGATGATGATGTCACAGCGAGTCATCGCCCCCAACCCCGCCCAGCTGCAGGGTCAGAGGGTGCCCTCAAAGCCCTCTGTGGTGCGACCCACATCAGGGGGCATCAGCAGTGCCATTGGCTACCAGCAGGTAACCACCCCCACCCCATTCAGCTGCTCATTGTACGGTCCATTTGTTGTTCAGTGGTTTTGTGTAGTTTGTTTATATAAAGTGTGTGTGTGTGTGTGTGTGTGTGTGCGCGCGCACGCATTTCAGAGCTCTCTTGCATTTTTACAAGTATTTATAACATTTAAATGAATATTCAGTCAAGGTTAATTTTATATTACTTCTGGTGTGCGATACAGGCCACCAGCCAGCAGGTGGCAGCCTCCCAGCGCTCCAGCTCGTCAGGCATCTACATGAACCTGGCTCACATGCAGGCAGCCGGAGCAGGCGCTGTGGCAGGTGTGGGCAGCGTGGGAGCTGTCAGCCCGTCCACCCTGCCCAGCCCCGGCGTGGGCGCCCTCGGCGACCCCGGCAGCAGCCAGGCAGCCGCTAAGCTGGCCCTCCGCAAGCAGCTGGAGAAGACCCTGCTGGAGATCCCGCCCCCCAAGCCGCCGGCCCCGCTGCTGCACTTCCTGCCGTCTGCCGCCAACAGCGAGTTCATCTACATGGTGGGCCTGGAGGAGGTGGTGCAGAGCGTCATCGACAGCCAGGGTGAGCGGGCGGGTGGGTGAGCGGGCGGCCGGGCTCCGTGAGGGCAGCTCAGCTAGGGAGGGGCTCACTGGCACTGACGTTTACAGGGGGGAGGGCCGCCCCAACCATTAAAAAAGCACTTCAGATGCTACCCTGAGGAATATCATGCTGAGAAAGTCATTTTAGAACTTTAATTATGCTTTAAAGTGCAGTGTGTCCTAATTTAGCAGTGCTGCGGATCAGGGTCGTCCGGCTGTAGGGATGCTGATTCGGGCAGGTGGATCCCTCTGTAACTCATCGGGCCCCCCAAGTCTGCTGAAGGGGTTCCCTTAGCTGGGGGTAGTGCATCCTGGGTAAATCAGGAATGGCCCCTATGCTAAGTCAGTCAGAAGTAATAGCAAATAATGTGGAGAAATTGGGTGGTTTTTTGCAAACCCCATCTTGCCCTCTGTGCCACATGTGGAGGTGAGAGCTGGCCTGGGGGGTTCGGTGTGTGGGGTCAGCAAAAATTGGGGTTAAAGGTTGTGCTCAATGGGGAAACTGTGCCATCCCTCTACTCACTGGCCATGGGATTTGAACTTGCAACCTCCTGATCATGCACACAGAGCCCTAACCTTCAGAGCCCCACGCCACCCCAGAAATCATGATGTCCCACCCAGTCATCAGACCACATGACCGTAAAGCTACTCAAAGAACTGCTGGCCCCCCACTTAGCTGACACCTCCCCCCCCCCCACTCTGCAGGTGGTAAGCTGCGCGGCTCCCTGTCCCCCACGGAGCCCTTCTTCTGCGCCCAATGCCGGACCGACTTTACCCCCCACTGGAAGCAGGAGAAGAGTGGCCGCATCCTGTGTGAGCAGTGCATGACGTCCAATCAGAAGAAGGCGCTGAAGGCGGAGCACACCAACCGACTGAAGAATGCCTTCGTCAAGGCGCTGCAGCAGGAGCAGGTCGGTCGGCGTGCCGCTGTTTGTCGCCGTTATGGGGCACGTGCCGCTCGCCTGCCGGATCGTCGCTGTAGTTGTCTGTCTTGGGGGGGGGGGGGGTCTGCTGTACAGCCACTGCAGCGCGGCTCATTTTAAGGCTCAGCCCACCTCCGCCACGGCTGGGGGCTGCATCTCCACGGTCCCGCCGTGACACTGTGATCCTCACGGCTGCCGCGATCAAGCTGTCCCCCACGCGTTTGTTTTCTGCCGCTGTTTTCCGCGGTACCTTGCAACCTTTTGAAATCCAAAGCAAACAACTAATTTTACTGTGGTTTCCGGCATCCCAGCCACTAACGCTCCACCCCGTCCATTTTCCACGCCCGCTTGTCCGCTGCAGGGGCACGGGGGTCCAGAGAGTTGCTTTTGAAAATATCATCAAAGTACCACATTCTGTATATAATTAGATACTGGGCCAGCCTAGTGGGTCCTGCCCAGGGTGACAGGCTATGGATGGGAAGTCCTCCTGGCCTGTGACCCCTCACGCCGTTGTCCCCGCTGCAGGAGATCGAGCAGCGGCTCCAGCAGCAGGCCTGCCTATCCCCCAGCTCTGGACAGACCGTACCCAGCATCAGCAAGGCGGAGTCCATGATCCGGCACCATGCGCTCCGGCAGGTACGCCCCTCGCCGGCTTCCCCGAAGCTCGTCCCGCTGGGCGGCCCCATCCCTGCCAGACTAATGCCGTCCCTCCCGCCCCCCCCCGGCAGGCCCCGCAGCCCCAGGCCTCCCTCCAGAGGGGGCTCTCCAGCTCTGCACGCGGTGTGCTCTCCAACTTTGCTCAGGCCTCCCAGCTCTCTGTGGCCAGCGACCTCCTGGGTATGGCGGGCAAGCAGTGCGGGGGCGGCGGCGGGGGGCGGGCGTCCCATGAGAGCCGCCGTCATCTCTACAACATCCCTGGTGAGTGTGACTCCGCCCCCCCCCATCCTGCTTCCGACTGTGCTTTTAAATCGCTGTCTCCCTCCCGCTCACAGGGCTGAACATCGCCTACCTGAACCCAGGGGGGGTTGTGGGCCACAAGGCGTCCAGCCTGGCTGACCGACAGAGGGAGTACCTGCTGGACATGATCCCCCCGCGCTCCATATCGCAGTCCATCACCGGACAGAAATGAGCCGCTCCCTACACCCTTGGCCCCGCCCCTCCTGGCCCCGCCCCCTCCCTACCCCGCCCCGCCCCCGGTCGCATGTAGTGCCTGTTGGTGTGCCTACCTACTAATCCATGAGAACGACACAATCAAACAGAACAAAAGCCACCAATCTGTCTGAGCACCTGAGGCTGCTTTATTACTATAGCAACTTATTATTGATGTTGTTGCTGTTGTGTTATTATTATTATTATTATTATTATTATTATTATTATTATTATTATCATTATTATTATTGCTTCTGTTACCGTTATGCTCATTATCGCTATGCTTTGCTTTTTAGAGAGGGTGGCTAGTTAGCAAGGTGCCCCCCCCCCTCCCCCTCCCCAAATCCATCCTCCAAACTCACCACAGCATCGTCAGGTTCAGGGCTGAGGACTTCAGCTTATCTCGTCAGGTTTGTGTGACCCACTGCCTTTGAAGGAGGAGGATTTCAGCTCAGCAGAAGGCACGCGCACGCACACACACACACACACACACACACACACACACGGACTCGTGCGCCCGTCGCCAAGCCCCCGAAACCTCGGCCCATGCGGAGGATGCCAGCAGAAAGCTGGTGACGCCCGTCATCCAAACTTGGCCTTTTAAATACTCAGATGGTCTCCAGACATCCTAGCTTGAGAAGAATTAGGGACCGTTAAGGTGCTCCGCTTAGGATTGGTGGTCTCAGAGAAAGCCCCGCCCCCCGCAAAGGTAAAATACAGCCCCCAGTGTTCTCAAGGTGCCGTGAGGCAGCAAGGTTATGATCACGAATCACGAACGCACACGCTGTGATGGACATGCGTCTGGACAGAGCCTGAATGCATCCTGTGTTTATCTCAATCGACGACATGTTCGGTCTCTGGAGATCGGAATCCATGGAGGCACATGGCCCTCTGTGCCGGAAACATCTGAGGGATCCCATGTCCTGTGGCGGCCGCACCTCCTGCATGAGCGCCCTGGGGTCAGAGGTCACAAAGTGCCGGCCTCCTATCGGGCTATTACATATATATTTTTTTTTTTTTGGTCGTGTTGCACAGTGCAGATAATCGAAGCGAAACCCTGATGCTTATCTCCTCCATTCCGCATCCCTGAACGCAGAGTGTCTGTGACCTGTGGCCGCTGTCTGTCC